AAGGTAAGACGGGAGGGCTGGACTTCCTCAGCTAAAACCTCAGGGGCGTAATTAAGGAGTCCTAAACCGAAAGGGCTAGAGGGTTCATGCCAGGGTGTCTGCAAGGCCAGGTCAGTTTGCGCGGGCGTCCGCCGCTTCGAAGCGGAGTGTGCCGCCAGGGCTTCCAACAAGTCTTCCAGCGCTTCCACCTTAGAAGCACCTCTCCCCATGTCCTCCGGAGTGAGCTCTGGCTCAGCATTCCATCCGTCGATCCCCAAAGAAAGAAGCTCAAGCACCTCCCATTGGCGATGATTCAAAGTCGCTCCCAGCTCCAGCCCCAGATGCGGGCGAGCGAGCGCTGGTTGCCCGAGAAAGAGCCGAATGTGCAAGCTTCCGAGGGCCGCCCGCGGCTTTGCGAGCGCTTGCAGAGCCTGGAAGAAAATGCCTCTGGCAGGCCCTCGCAGGCTGCGAGGTAGGGTACGCAGAGAGAGCTCAGCTTAGATTTAGCCGAACCCAAAGCATCGAAGAAAGAGTCCCAAAACGTTAAACCATGCACTGTGCTAGCACGCGCGCCGGGGAGGCGAGCTTCATCGCCTGAATTCTTAAACCCCGGGCGCACGGCTGATTCAGAATCACCCCTCACTTCGAATCGCCCTTGCCCTCGCCTTTCCCGCCCTTGGGAGGATTGCGAGGTGGGCGCCTGGGAGGCTTGTCGTCGTCGGCTTGCTGTTGGTGCTGCTGGCCTGGCGTGTTTTTCGGGGGATGATTTCCTCCTGAAAGCTTCTTTCGGGCTTCCAAGAACGCTTCCCTCTCCCGAATGCGGTGGATCAGAATCGAGAAGACGCGAAGGTCCAGCAGCTTGGTTTGCCTGGCTTCCCAGGCCTCTGGAGGCTTGTGCTTCGCGAAGGCAGCTACCGGTGGCGGGCTCTCGAGCAGCATCTCGGATGCCAGTAACCACGAGCCGCTCTCGATCGCGGCTTGATCGCTCGCGGCGATCAGGAGGCTCAGGCGCGCCTGCGCCTCCAAAGTGCGCCCGGCCCATAGTAGGCAGTCCAAAGCCCCAGCCACTTGCCAGCTCCACCTTACTGGATCCATCATGGCGGGGAGATGCGACCGGTGTTCCAGCCAAGCACGTGCGCTGACCTGGGAGGCTTGGGCGCCAGGGGCGGATTGAACGTTCAGAAAGTCCTCGGTCAGCAGCTGCTCGAAGGAGTCGATAAGAACCTGAGGGTCGTCTCGCAGAGTCTTGCAAACCTTGAGATAGGCTGCAGCCCTCTTTCCCCCGGTCGAACTTCCCGCTCCTGACTCGAAGGTCGCTCCCTCGGTCAACAGATCGTCCAACTCGGACTTCTTCGATGCATGCATCTTGGCCAGGATCTTGCTCATTTGAACAACAGCTTTCCCAACAGCATCCTGAGGGGAGGCCGCGACGCCTTCGGGCTGCGGCCCCTCCTCGTACTCGCTTTCCTCGCTTTCGGAGAGGACGCCTGTCCGCCTCTTCCCCTTGCCATCTGTCATTGCGGTTGGCTTGGAAGCAAGGTCTCCCATGCGTCGCAACTGAGCATCTGATATGCCTGCGGCCTTGGCAGCTGACACCACGGACGGCTCTAGTCACTAGTCGTGGAAAGAGCGCCAGCTCGGGGCGAGGCAAACTTGCCGGAGGCTTGCGAAGAGCAGAAGGGCGGGCCGTAGCTCTGTGGGGCTCGGTTGCGTGCTGGAGCAGGGGTAGGTTCGGACGGGCCCACAGACCCCGCCGCAGAAGAAGTCACATGATGCAGCACGGAATCCAGGCCCGCCTGCAGCTGGCGCTCCAACGAGTTGACACGGGAAGAAAGCGCCGGAGACTCCGACGCGACGGTGGCCGGAGGTTCCGAGGACAGACCTTCCTGAGCAGAGTAAAAGGCGAAATGGTCGCCCGCAACTGCTAGCAGCGACGGGCCATAGGGCACTCCCTCTTCCTCGGAGCCCTGAATCAGAAAGCCTCGTTCGGCGCTTTCGTCCTCCTCGCCGAAGACACAGCATCCCTCCAACCCCGGATCAAGAAGACCAATCCAAACCCGAATCTTAAAATGAGGATCAGACCGCGAGCGGTCCTCAGGACTCGCTGCCAAAACCTCAGCAGCAACCGCCTTGGAGAGCGCCCCGCGGGGCAAGTAGCGTCGGGCTACAGTTCGGTGCCAAACGCTATGAGGCACGGCAACAACCACCTTCCCTTCAAAAACGGCCACTCCGACAAGGCTGCACGACAAAGAGGAGCCCGCTTCAAGCTCCTGAGAAAAAGAGCCGACCAAGTACGTGGCCGGGGATTCGGAAAATTGGCTGAGCAATCGGTCCCGCAACACAGGGGATTCCAACCCCTCCTCTTGCAAATCCTCTTCTTGCGGGCCTCGCCGGTAGCCATCTATTCCCGCGCGGGGCCAGGGCAATTCCGCGGCTCGGAACGCGGTCCTGATCTCGGCTTGGGAGGGAAGGCCTACGAACACTGACTGGCCTCCGTCAGCTCAACGCTTACAAAGGCGCCTGACCGGTTCAAATTTGCTAAAGATGGCCGGTTCCGAGAGTCGCTGTCCCGAGTAATCACAAAGCACAATGTAGTAGCGAGAAGCCAGCGAAAGCCTATCGCGGCCTGACGTGCCTCGGTGCTCACCTCGAATAGCTCTTTTGAGAAAGAGACCCACCTGAGTGGCAATCTCCTGGCGGAACGGGCCTTCAGGAGCCCCGGGCTCAGTGGCCCCAACAGCAGCGGTTGCCGGCTCGGAGAGCGGCCTGCCAAGTTCTCCTCTGCTCTCGGGTGCAGCTCGCAGTGTCCGAGGAGGGGGAGTGAGGGCCGGGCTTGATCCGGCTGGGGTTCCACACTCAGGGACTACCTCAAAGGCGTTGCTTTCAAGGAGGGATACTCGCTTTTCAAGAGCGACCACAAGAGCCCGCAAGGCTCGAACCTCAGCTCAAATCACTCATGCAAGGAGCCGGTAAAGGCCAGTTGTGGGAATGGGCTCCCCGGCTCGGCTGAGCACTCGGCGAAGCAGCAATCGAGTAAGACACAGAAGATCCAAGAGGGGCCAGAGAATCAATCCAATCAACAGGCCCAAGAGGAACGAAGGAGGATGAAGAGAAGAGGCCCAATTCGGGGCCTCGGAAGAATCGGGTGGTGCAAAGGGCCCGAAGTCAGGCCTAGGTGGTGCCAAAAGCACGGGATCCGACGCTTCTCGAAGGAGAGAGAAAAGGACACCGGCCAAACCACCCGAAGACCCAGCAAGAGCTAGGGGCAACCCTCGCATTCAACCGAAACTGCAGGACAAAGTTAAACATGCATTCGACATCATGAGCATGTGCAGCCAATCCTACTTCATCAGAACGCGTGCAACAATACTCAACCAATTGTCCGAGAACAGTCCAGTCTCACCGGAGCATTGCTGGTTGACAGTGATTGCGGCTTGTCAGTAGTTGATTCGTTCCCTTGGTCGGGCATGGCGTGACAAATGATGAGACCATGTAATACACGAATAATAGCTGAACAAAGTTGGTTGCCCAGAGCCCGGCCAATCGAACGTCCTACTGATATTTGTAACAGGCACGAGGATCTTGAGGCGTTGTCTGTCCAAACCGTTGTCCACTTTCGCCACCACGTACCCTCAAACGGGCTCTTTCTCGTATGCAAAGGCACAAAGGCACAGGCGGCACAGGGCAAAATTACGTGGGAATCCAAAGCCTTGAAGCCTTTCGTCTCAGATGCGACTTGCTTTTTTATTCCCCTGATCGAAGTGTTTTAGGAGGTGCCGTGGGGACGGGATCTGCAGAGCTCTGCTCAGCTGTAAGCTCAGGCTGCTCAGGCCCTGGCGTGAAAAATCTTCGGTATCTGATACGGAAGCTTGTGCCACAGCGACCGCGCAGCCGCGGGCTGTGGGCCCTCTGCCAGGGGGTTCTTGGACCAGGGCTGCCACACGCGCGGAGCATGCGCAGAGCATGCTGCATCGCAAAGCACAGAGCGGAGCAAGGCAGAGAAGGACCTGCGCTTGTTTTTCTCACCGCATCCAGCTGCACAGAGCCCTCTCGAAAGCCACAAACAAACTGAAGACGGTTGTGATGTAGACCTTGGCGCAACTTCAACGAAAGGGCAAAGAGAGACCGGAGACGCCGGCGACCGTCACTTGGTTCCTCACCGAGCGCATCCTGTTTCACGTGACATGTTACACTGCGTTACACTGTTACACCGTGCAGCAGTGAGAAGTTTGGACTTTGGACATTCCTTTCATGGCCCTGCTCTCATGCTAATGGCTCAGAAGTTGCGTTTGAACAAGCGGCTTCTTCTTTGCGCAAGAGAAAGAGTATCAACCTTGCAGGCAACTTCTTTGGCCGCCACCACTAAGATGGATCGCTGCCCTTGCAGCTCCTGCAGTGGCTCCACGTAGCAAATTCGCGAGTGAGAGCAATGATTACAATCAATTCCGCATCAACAGCTTCACATGAAAAGGGCTCCGAAATCCGTTCTGTGCAACTCAGTTCTTGAGTTATCGGTTGTGCGATGACCGGAATCTGCAGGCATCTTTCGCACAGAATCTGGACTCGAAGAGAGACGTATTTACAGATCACCTCGGCTGTCAGGGCATAGTTGGAAAACAGGAGCAGCCAAGGTGAGTCGAAGCTGCGGCGAGGGCAGCGAAACAGGAAACCTTGAAGTTCTGGCGTGAAGCAAGGCGACCGAAGCGACACGCAGGCATGCAACACTGGACCGCTCTTCTGCTGTCAGCCGAGTCAGCGCAGCCGCTAGCTCTGCTAGCTGACGGATGCGAAGACTTTATGAACCAGCACGAGGAAGGCCGGAACGCGAAGCTCTCGGCAACTCTGCGGTTGAAACTTTGACCAGAGGAGCCATGCCGGCAGAGGGCAGAGCGCTGAGACTTCTGAACTTGTATCACCAATGACACCAATGACCAATGTGGCCCATTCCTGCGCTCTACAGCTGGCGCGGGCCGTGGATCCCAAGAGTCACACGGTCCAGACAACGCGGTTTACATATGCGCTCACAGGCGCAGGTACTCTTTCGAGACGGAAGCCTGCACTCATTAAACCCAGCAACAAAGCGATCTTCATGGAGGGGCCTCGTCATCCTCTGGGAAAGGGCCCAGGTGCCCGTGGTTTCCCCACATCGGCGGCAGCCGAACCTCTGCCAGGGCTTCTCTCTGGGATCAGGCCGCGATCATGGCAATGCTGGCAGGATGATGATGATGAATCTACCTTGCCACACACACTTTCTCTACGCCGACAGAAACTGGGCGACAGGGCGATGTTTCGTTACCGGCTTTCTGCCATTGTGTGGCCGCCTCTGCTCGTTTGCCATGTCCCAACGTCATTGATACTCCGGCCACCCTCTGCACGAGGCTTTGGGTGATGCTTGGTCGCCTGCATGGGGCATGGGCCAGTGTTTTCGGTGAGAGAAGCTTTCTGCTCGCCTGTCTTCTTGACAAAGCGAGGGTTCTGATTCAAAAAGGCTTAGAGGGATTTGGTTTGCCTGTTGTTGGACAATTGTAACAAGACTCATGATAAAAAAGAGGTCTGGCGGCTTCCAGCAGCTCTGATTACCACTGTCTTGGCTCCACTTGGGGGCTCCGGCATAGGCAGGCTCCAACTCCGTGGCCAGTGGAAGGCAAGGACCCACCGCAGGAGAGCCCTTGGCGCAGGAAACGCCGCTGAAGAGAAGAGAGCGAAGCGGCGAAGGCGCAGTCCGAGTCCGAGCGGCAGTTGCCGAGTTGGAGGACGCCAGCGAGGCTAAGGATGCCAAGGAGCCGAAGGAGGTCCTCGCGCAGAACAGAAAGCGCGCTTTAACTGCTTTCGGCACCGGACCGGACTGGCACGACCGACGTTCGGCGCTTAGCCGGGTCTCCTCATGCCGCTCCTTCCGCTCAGTGTGGTTGCACCATCAACACTTCCGGCCAGGCTAAAGGCCTCAAGAAAAAACTGTGAAGGAGTGAAGGCGCGGCTCCCAGGGCGGCTCCCAGGGCTCCCCGCCGGCTCCAGACAGGGCCGGTTTCCAGCAGCGGCGCAAACGTCTTGGACCTCAAAGCTCGCAGACAAACGCTCAGAGCGCCACTCCAAGAACTCTGGAGGCCATGCATGGGCCATGCACTCCCCCTCCCGCGGGAGGTCTCACAGGCCCGCTGCAGTTCGCATGGAGAACAGGGCGGCTGAGAGCCAGTACGGTTCGAGCCGCCAAGGAAGCTTCCAGTTCCTGGACCTGAGATTCCACGTGCACATGATCCATGCGACTCCTTGCGCAGTCTTCGAATGAGATTCGGGGATGCGCCCACCCTTTGGCACGAATCCGCCGCCGGAATGCCACAAGGACAAAGAAAGAAGGGTGCTCCGCGGCGGGGATCTTCGGCTGGGAGCCCCGCCGACAGGACCCGGCCTCCAAAGCCTTGGCCACTCAGCGGAGCAGTGAGTGCTTCCTCTCTCTCTCCCTCTCTCTCTCTCTCTCTCTCTCTCTCTCTCTCTCTCTCTCTCTCTCTCTCTCTCTCTCTCTCTCTCTCTTTCGGTGTTCCTTCGAAGGCCCTGCTGGCCAGACACCGTGCCTTCTGCAGGTTATATCTCCCTCGTTCGCTGTGCCCAGATCTGGATCTCTTGCCCTACCATAAGCATGGTCCCGTTGTCTGAGCACTGGTCGTCCACACATGTAACATGTTTAGCGGTGGCCGGCTGCTCACGGCGTCAAGATGTAGGAACAGACGACAGCTCTTGTGTTGTGTGTCCTTCGCGGAGCGATAGATTTTAGAAGTTTGAGAGGAACGGGAGTCACTGCAAAACGGAGGAACGATCATGAAACCTCGACAGCGGCTGAGTCCGAAAATCAAGGCACGAGTCACGTGTCAAACACCCTGCATTTCACAACACAGTCACTACAGGCTCGCCATGGCTCACCCTTAACCAATCGGTTCTTGCCGGCGTTGTGGCGGCGAAAAGGCGGCGAAACGGCGGCCCAGCGAGAGCCGAGGGCAGAGCGGAATTCCGAGTAGCAGATGTAGCAGTACAGCCCATAGGCCATAGGCAGAATCTGATAACCTTGTAAAGGAACAGTTGGGCGGCATGCCTAGTCCTAGTTCTGTTTTCAGCTTTTCAGTTGGGATTTTGGGATTGCTCCAGTAGACCGCCTTCGTCAAGCGCTTGGGCGGAGGCTGTTCGGTAGGAGGATTTATCATGCTTTTGAGAGGGAGAGAGAGGAGCTGTTGCCGTGATCTCTTAGCGGGATCTGCATACATCTGACACTCGCACGGACTGCACAAAGATTCGCTCGCAAGGTGGAACCTCCAAGAAGGTGACAGCAACTTTTTCCGGTTTTGGAAGAGCATCAACTTCTTGGAGACCTTCGGAGATAATTCGCATCCTGTCCATGTGGCAGAAGTTGGTCCTGGCTTTAACCGCAGATCTCCCAGTCCCAAATCCGCACCATCCCGCATGCCAGGCCTGGTCGCGCCTCGCGCCAACTACCGACTCATCAATGGCAGGTTTTTTGCGTGCGGGACGCTGCGTCGGATCACGTGCTTCGATGATGAGGATTACCCGCATCCGTTGAACTGCGAAGAACTGCGGCCTGCATGAGCACAGCAAATCCCGGCAGCAGTCTGTTTTCGTGCAGGGGGAACTGCCCAAGGATGTTTTGGCATGCACCTGCAAATGAGGATCGAATGAATATCGTGCAGGTGTATAGTGACATGGGTGTGCCTGCATCCATGTTTGCGCGTCATATACGCGTGATAAAGCGGTATGATTGCAGGAATGCAAAATTGATAGATGCATGCATGTAAGGCATTTTACCATCTGAAAATGTACCATGCGAAACCCCGGGTGCAACATATGAGCACGAGTTCGTCTACACCCCATTTCCCAAGTCTAAGATTACCCAACCAACCTCCCAACCAACCATAACTTGCGGCCCTTTGCTACAGAGCCTGTATAGTTCTATAGGTGCCTGATGTGTACAATCTGCGCTTGTAGCTCTCTTTACGCAGTAGGGTGTGGGATCAAGCCAGCCATGAGCGGCATTGCCTTTAGACCCCAGTGACTGTCGTCACGACTTTGTCCAGCCCTGCCTGGCATCGCTGCAAGGCTCGCGCGACTATCCACAAGTGCCGAGCAGCGGGGCTCGGCCCCCAATGGCCCAACGGCCCAACTCCAAACCGTCCCGTCCCCGTGGCTAAGGGGCGCTCCGTCTCGGCACTTCGTGGGACGGGGCGAGGACTGTACGGCGTCGCATCCCTTCGGTTGCGGGTCTCTCTCTCCCTCTCTCTCTCTCTCTCTCTCTCTCTCTCTCTCTCTCTCTCTCTCTCTCTCTCTCTCTCTCTCTCTCTCTCTCTCTCTCTCTCCTCTTCTTCTTCTTCTGCAGGGCCTGAGGGGTCTGCGATTCCCCTGATTGACATGATATTACTTTCTTTTACCAGGCAGGAGACTGCCGCTGGTTGATCGCTTGCTCGGTGCTAAGTTATTAAGTGCAGCTAACAACTCCGCGGGCACTTCCATGAGCAGCAAGCTAGGATACAATTGCATAGGTTAGAATCGTGTGGCCGGATCGATTTCTTGACATTACCAACACAGGTGTTCCGTGTCTCGCCCCGATATTCAAACACATGATGACCCTCTTGCTTGCACGCAGCCAGAAGTAGGTCGCGACCTACTCCGCGCACGTGTGCACATGTTTCGGTGTTTGGTGCAGTTGCAGTGATATGTCGTCCTGTTGCTTCACAGCTGGGGGCTTGCGAGTAGGGGCAAACAGTGCCTTGAACAGTTTTTGAGCCCAGCACGGTTGAACCCCTGAAGGGAGAGGCGCGAGGCGGGGGCTTAAATAGTGTTTTAAATAAGGGGGATCTAACAGCGCAAGCCGGCGCCTCGCTCAATCGGGGGGAACATTCTCGCCATGATTACCCTCTCTCTCTCTCTCACTCTCTCTCTCTCGTCAGCATCGGTTCAGGGCGGCCGCGCCCATACTCTCGCCAGTGACTGCTGCACTTGACGACAAGGCCTCTGCAAGACGTCACAAAGCTTGGAAGGGGCTTCCGAAGTTGCTGTGGCCTCTCCAAGGATCCTCTGCTCGTTTGTGCCGTGGTAGAAAGCACACTGCGGTCCCCGTGGGCAATGCCCCGTCGCTGCCCAGTCAGTGCACGGCATCCTGGCCCAGCTACTGCTCAGCCGCTCAGCTCAGCTCGTCGAGGCGACTTGCGCTAAGCCGAGCCCCAGGCGTCTTGTAATAGGAGGGATGGTAGAGCTGCTCCTGCCAAGAGCGTTTCCTTGCAGCCTCTCAACAAAACGGATTCCCTCCTTCGAGCCGTGAGCGAAGCCACACCGCAAGCCTCTAGGGCACCGCCTCAAGAACACGTGGGCGGAGTCTGGTCAGCTTCGATTACCTTCAGGTGCGGGCTCATTGTACGGAAGACGCTCCCCGACATGCTTCGCCCACCTTTGTGACATTGCAACTCGGAAATCGCGCACAGATGTTGGAGCTTGGTGCAGCAACGCGGCTCTGTGCAAGGTTCACTGCTGTATCCGAGTTCTGGTCGTCGGCGCCAGTCCTTCCACCCACCCCCCACCCAACGCGAAAAGACGCGCCCCGCACTCAGTGGCGGGGGCCAGGGCCCCTAGGCGCCTGATCGGTGTGGGCCTCGGTTGTTGAGGGAACCCCAAGAAACGGACCGCAAGAAACCAATGCCCCCCGTCCCCAAAGCTTAGGATGTGACGTAGAGGCCTAGGAGTTCGGGAAGACCATGCGATGCGCCATGCGATGTGAGTCGCACTGAGTGCCTCACACTCATGCCAGCTGTGTTGGGTACCATAGGGGCACCACAGCCTGCAGTGCGACGCCGCCCATCTGCAAGCCCTGACAAGGCCCTTTTTGGGTGGCCCGGGCCCTGGGGTCACTGGGGTCATCACGTTTTGAAGCGGCGTGTGAAGAAGTCCACTGCTCGGAGCTGCATCTCTGGAGACCGGGAGTCCTCTCTATCGGCGGAACTGTGACTGCAGCAAAGTTTCTTGTCGCTCCTCGGGTACACTGAACCATTCTGCCATGAGCTCCTCCTGGTCATTAAGGGCGGGTCTTCATCACCCCAACACCCACTCGCTACCTTTGCGACGAGGCCTCCTCAAGCTTTAACAGCTCCACGCGAACCTAGGGAAGCTAAACTTGCGCGAATCTCAACAATCACTGGATACCAGAAACCCGCCTCCTCTCGGTGGTGTGCAAACGCGCACAGGTCCCCCCTTTGGCACGAGGACACCTGCAGGGCCCCCACCAGCACGAAGCCAAGTAGAAACAGCGATCAAAAAGCCTTCGGGAAGGTTGCGCAAAAGCGCTTCTTGAACACATTGTCCTGACAGCTCAAAAAGCCTGCTGCCCACAGGCGGTCTTGCGACCTCTGAGAGTCTGGGATACTGGCATGGTAGAGCAGCTCCAAGCGGTTGTGGCACATGCCGCAGTCGTCCCCAAGTGAGCAACTGCTGGAATTCGCCACTGAATGACTGCCCTTAACTTGCACGGATTTCGGCCTGCTTGCACCGTCGCGAGAATCCGAATCGAAGCACCTTACTGCACAAGCATCCACAAGCACCGCACACTTCCACACATGTCGAATTTCTCTTCTGACAACTCCCTCTTCGGGGTGATGCACGATGCACCACAAAAAGTGCCTGACATCAAAAGGAAACTAAAAATTGCCTTGTCAGCCTGCGAGGAAATTCGTAAGGATCAAACTACGTCGAACCGCAATCGTCGCGTGAATTACGACATTTGTTGTTGACAGCAAGCTACTGGGAATTATAAGCTGCAGGATCGGTTCTGCGAAATGCTACTGGGGAACTAGTGGCATTGCAGTTCGCAAAATTCCAATTTGCAAGGTCTTGTTTTGGATCAGACGCGCGTCACGTCCCATACCCCTTAGCTTGTTCGGGTGAAACAAGTGTGCGGACGCACTTCATGCAGCGGTCACGTCCTGCAGGCAGCAACCCGCGGATGCTGTTCTCGTCTCTGCCGCAGCAGGTTTGCTCATTGCTGGTGACGCCGCCCCGCTAACAGAAGTTGCGGGGACACCCGCCGTGCTGCCAGGGCAGGCTATGTATGTGCATCCTCCCCTTAGTTGACCTTGGCGGCCCGTCTGCACTTTGCCTGCTGCTGTGAACTGCAAGCAGCTCAAGTCTTGCAGGGTTTGCTCGGCATCGACTGTTAGGTCGCGATTAGGTCGGCATCCAAGCTAGCCAACTCAATCAGCGCCTCTTTATCAACATCCAAATCCTCACCCACTGAGGAAGTTCCAGGAGGCATGGTGGTGGCTGGCACAGATCCTGGCTAAGGCCGGTGCTGGCTTTGATCCTGGCAAGCCGAAATAAGGGCCGGGTTCAGCGATCTCCGTCGGCGGGTGATCTGCACTGGCACCGTCAGCGCCCGGTCCCCATGGCCCCCGCTTCTGATGGAAGGTCTCCCGTTATGGATAATGCACCAATGGCGGCAGTGTATCCACGACGTCATTCTCGTGGACTTTAAAACTTTCTCTGCGCTTCTGTGCCTTAACACATTCCCCAGGGTGTCCAAGTGAACGAATGCTTTGATAGTAGGCTCGTTTCATCGTCTCTGCCTTGACATGTTCTCAATTTGTCCGATTCATCTGTGATAGACCCTGGAGCCCTCGGTTGTTTCCTGATATGTGCCGTGCAGGACTAAATGCTTGATGTCGAGGAGCTCATTCTTGGTCGCAACACACTCTTTTGACACGATTTCCATCCGTTTTACTATCCGAAGGTTGGGTTTCTTGCACCATTTTGCATACCAGGGCGAAAGTTAGGCTTCCCTGCCGCTCGACGTTCCTTATGGTCTGCGGTGATTTAAGTGATGCGATATTGTGATTGATGGATGCCGTGTTGGCTAACGGCTAACATACTAGCTAGGTGAACTCACCCTTGACATGCATGCCACGATCTTCGACGACGACTGCAGGGTGCCCTGCCCACGACATCTGTCGATCCATCCACGCATTTAAGCAATGCTCAACGCTTTTGTGGCCACCTCCTGTTTTCCCAAGGAAGACGTGTTGCAGTTCTCCTGAGATGCGAAAACATGACCCAACACCCTTTACCTGAGTCCTTCTCACTTGTTAGATTTCAGACCTGGGTACCCGCCTTGACTGGGGGCTGCTACGTACCCTTGAGGCTTCGTGAGGCCTCCTTTCGCTGGCACTGCCTCCGGACTGTTCAGGGTTTAGATGCCTAGGGTTACTGATTTGGAAGCGGCAGTCAGCGCCGCCGGTCCATTGATGGACAAGCAGTCAGCTTGCCTGTAGCTCCTCACAAGCACCCACTAAGCATGTGTTTACACCGGAAACCGCACTTTTGGGCCAAAGGTTGATTCGAAGCATTTGACATCTCCATCGGCACATCCTTCGGACAAGCGCTGTTGGGAAAACAGGAGTTGCCCCCCATCTGAAGCCGGGTTGGACGGGAGGGTGAGCTTGAGATGGCAGTGACACACAGCGGATCCTACACAACCCCGTTCAAAGAACTATCAGTGCACTAGCTCCTATATCCCACCACCATCCCCGGTACTCCACCAGGACGATAGTAGTAGTAAGTAGTTAGCCTGCGAGCTAGCCGAGCGACAACCAAGAGAGACAAGCACACTCAGCTAGCACGGACACACTTTTTGTCTGGAGCGGCAACTATCCCAGGTTGCCTGGAGATATCCGATAGCCTTTGGCTATCCATCCCAGGGTGGGCAGGGCGGGTACTTCAAAATTACCCCCCTGATGGGGGACTTTATCGAGAATGGCCACGGTCACAAATGCTCGTAGCCATTCCAAGTCACAGCTATCCTGTCTTCGCATGTCAGAAACAGCTATCCTGCGAACGACGATAGCGAGCGAAACTCCGTTTCTAGCGAAGCTACCTTCAATAGCTTCGGGTATAAATAGGTTAGCTAGCACACATAGTCGTAACTCGTTCCTCGTCAAGAGGTACGTGCACTAGCTCCTATATCCCACCACCATCCCCGGTACTCCACCAGGACGATAGTAGTAGTAAGTGCGAGCTAGCCGAGCGACAACCAAGAGAGACAAGCACACTCAGCTAGCACGGACACACTTTTTGTCTGGAGTGGCAACTATCCCAGGTTGCCTGGAGATATCCGATAGCCTTTGGCTATCCATCCCCACGCATCGCCACTCAGGCTACCAGGGATCGAGCTTCCTGGCCTTTCGGCTAAACTTCGACACCCTATCCGGGGTCCCTCGCTTCCGCGTGCCTAGCTCCTTGTAGAAGCTATCGGCATGCGCGAGTAGCCGGCCCAGGACACGCCACTGGAATTCTTCCCCCTTCAGGTCTATCCTTTGAGAGGGGTCAAACTCCTTGAACTCCTCATTGGTGAGATCATCCGCTAGCTGGTTGATGTCTCTCCGTATCCACTGGAGCTGGAGCTCACAGTTCTTATGGGATAGCTCTTCGGCTACCTCCATTAAAATTAGCATGGATGGATACTTGGTTGTCATAGCCTTCTTCACAAGAGCCTCTTTTGCTTGTTGCGAACTCGCGACGCCCGTGTAAGCACGAACGACGTGTCAGAAGTCGCAGAGCAGAACAAGAGCAATTGATCTGCACACCAAAAGCTCAAGTTGACACTACGTGATGCAAGCCCCGCGGTAGCCGAAGTCCGTCGCGAGGTCAAGCACTCGGGTGAAGAACTTACCTATGTGCAAACAATGTACAAGCACAGCCGGAAAGTATCAAACTACAGAGTCGACGACAGAAGGGCTCGGGGTGTACAGGTGAGCCTCCTACGGACCAGGGCGAAGCCCCATCCTAGTCGGACTAGTCACTTTACAGGATGCAGACGCATCAAGGTGCTTACAGACCTTGAAAGGGAGCCAAAAGCACGAATGCAGCTCCAGAAACTCAGTTGCCTTACAATCAGATGTACAGAGTCTGAATGAAGGCAAGGGCAGAAGCCCCAAACTTGTTTACACTGTACACTAAGCAAGCTGTCAGTTTTCACAACGACGTCGGAACTCAGAAGTCCTCGCAGCAGCCCAACCAGTCGCCGGCCACAGCAGCTCTAGAAAGCAGCGCAGCAGTCCATCAACAGCAGTCGTCGCGAGTCTTCACGTGGAAAGAGGTCTCCAGCAGCCATCAAGCACTCAAGGCAGTACTCACCCCAGGCCAGGAGCCGGAAGTGCAAGTACCACAAGCGCAAGCGGGTGGGGGAACCAGGACTAAACCCTAATCTAGGCCCCTTGGGGGAGGCCCTGTGCGACAGGCAGGCATCGACGGACCTCCCGGGGGAGGGCCCTGATACCTTTGAGATGCTCGTGCAGTCGCTCCGCAGCCTTGGCAGAAGCACGGACAACATTCACCTCCCACTCCTTTGCCGTAGCAGCCTCAGCATGCCACCTTTCACGAAGCGATCCACGTAGGCGCCTTGCAACACAAGCCTTGGCCGCTTGATCCGCCGCAGAGTTCAGGGATCTAACGTGATCAGCTGTCAAAGCGGGGTGCGCCGGCTGCCAAGTCAGATGTCTCCCGTGAGCAGGAACCCACAAGAAGGTCAAAGTGACACCTTGGGCCCGAACAGCGGCTACAAGGGACGATAACAGTGCTCCAAACAGGGGCATCGCCTGGCAATTGAAGCGAGCCTTTAGTGCCGCTTCGCAGTCGACTGCAACAAAGATGCGGCCTCTGGCGCCTCGTTGGGCCGCCAACAGGACAGCCTCGAGGGTGAGTCTTAACCCGCACATCTCGGCTCTGAAGGATGACTGGTCTTCAGCATTATCAGCTCCCGCGAAGATTTGATCAGGTCTGTTGACGACCGCCGCATGCGCCGCAATTCCATTTTTTGCAGAACCATCCGTGGCAATTACGATGTGATCAGCACCCTGCAGCTCGTTCGCAATGGCCTCGGCGAGCTCCTCAGTGAGTCCAGTTGTGTCAACAGCCGGGGGCGGCGGAGGCTGTTCTGGAACATGTTTGGTTAGGAGGCGCTCCTCTCCACGATGCTGCGGCGGGCTCAAACCATTGCGGAGGTCACTAGTTTTGGGACAGACCCACAAAAGATGCGATCGGCTCGGCCTTACATCCCCACACATACAGCTGCAGCGCTCAGCGATTGCATCCTGCGGGGCATTAGCATTCGCTCGGCGGTTATACTCAGAGGAACGATCATTGAGGATGACGCGGTGACCCTGAAACGTTACCCTGTATCCCGGCGGGGGACTCTGGAGGTCCAAACCTTGTGCGAGATTGGGTGCGGCAGCTCTGTGCAGCGATTTTGCAATGCGACGGCACCTCATCAAAAACTGCCCTCTATAAAAATCTTCCTTCAAGACCGAAAAATTTTCAAATCCAATACAAACTTTTCGGAGGCCTCCACTGGCATCTCTCCGGAAAATGGTGTCGGCTCGGGCATTTGTCCACCACCCTGTCTTATGCAAAAGATCACCGAACTGAGGCAGGTGAGCTATCCAGGTTGCTGGCATTGCGGTTAGTGGCAACAGGTCATGCCACACTGGCGGTTTGGCAATCCACCGCCAAGCCAACTTGCACAATCCAAGATCCAAGGCAAAGTCAGGTTCAAGGCCCCAGCCCAGGAGCTCATAGAATGCAACAGTGGCAGTGTCGCCTCCATATCCTCCGCTGAAGAGGTGACGAACTTCTGATCTTACAGCATCCAGGTCCTGGCGCGAAGGCCTGGCAAAACCTGAGGCCCATGCCAGACACGGAATGACAAGAGATCTGACCAGCATGATGCGTGCTCTCGTGGTGGCTTGAGTCCATTTTAGGAGTCGAAGCTTCAGAACAGCTTTTCGCAGTGAGAACTTGGGCAGAACACCGGAGCCGTCAAACGCAAAGCTAACACCTAGGAATCAAGTGTATTGCAGGTCTGGAATTGCCATCGCCTTGCAAGATTTTGCATTCCATCATCATGCGCAGCAGCTGCGATGTAGCACTTATCGGCAGAGAGCCGGAGCGAAAAGGCATCATCGAAGGCAGCGCTGGCACTGAGGGCTCGCTCAAGATCTTCGAGGGACCCCGACGGCTCCAACACAAGGGTGCGATCATCCATGAAGATTTGCACACCCACGTGGCTACACGAGACTTTCAGAAAGGCACTCCAACAATGCGACAATGCAGCTGCAGCAATCGGGCTGAGCGGGCATCCTTGGGCAAAGCCTGACTTGACAACATGACAGCCTTCATCATACGAGCCTGCGAAGCAAAAATAACAAGAGCCTCGTTGGACTTGTTATCCGTATATCCACGGATGGCAACTCGCGAGGTCTTTCTATCCTCGCCCTCGGGGACCCAGAGACGTATCCCCACGAGGGTCGCTAGCAGTTCTAGCGCAGCTATCACCTTCTTGGGATCGCCTTTCGAAAAGGCCCAAGGAGCCCAGGCCTTATCCACCTCCAGTGAAAACCAGGGACCCGGTTTGCATCCGGATTTCTCCAGGAAGCCCCCTATCCAGGCCCTCAGCTTTAGCGTCTGTGAAAAAGCTCAGTGGTGGTAGCCCGGCGTAGAGGGTCACTGGACGTTGTAGCCTCTCCCCCTGGTCGAGCTTGTCGGCGTAGCATCGTCGGGATGATGAGGTATCCCGTCTTCCTCTGGATAGCGCACACCACGCATGGAGGGGCCTCTGCCAGTCTAGGGCTACGGCGGCAAAGCCTAGCCTCCCTAGCCCCTGCTGCATCTCCTTGGCGGTCACCTTGCCGGTGGCCACCTTGTCGTTTAGCCCGGTGGATAGCCCAGTCGAGCGTTTCTTCCACATCCCTAGCCTGTAGGTGGAGTACTCCGTCTCCATTCCCAGCCACTCCACCCTATAGCCACCTCGAGTCTTCGCCCACTTGAAGGGATATCCCAGGACGGAGAGTAGGAGGTAACTCAGAGGAATCCCCTTCCTCCCCTCCGTTCCTCTCCCAAGGGCCTCGACGTCATCGGCATATAGCAGGAGGTCGATGGGATAGCCGGGACCCAACAGATGATGGGTTGCCCGTAGCCCACCTGGTCCACCAGTAGCTCGCCGGAGATAGCCCGAAGGTGCCCACCTTGTTGACGTAGACAATCTGGCTATCCGGGTCCCCGGGGATCGTCTCCTCGGTGTCTATCTGGCAGCCCATGAATCCATGCTCGCTAGCCCCGGTGGGCCTTCGAGATATCCCCCACTACCGAAAAGGCAATCTCGCCACAACGGATCAACTCCCGGAGGATCTGTTTCTTTTCTCTAGCCCCAGGAGCCCGGCTTTTATCCCCTGACACCGTGGGTAGCATCATGGATTATCCGCTTCTTGTCCTTCTTCTCGTCCTCGACTATCACGGCTAAGGAAGCGATAGCCCTGTGCTCACCGAACTTCGCCTTGAACTCGCCGAGGGTCATTTTCTCCATGAGGCCCTCCTCGACATCCTCATCGAACTTAGCCCGCACAAACTCCCGATGGTCGCCGACTGAGGAGTAGTTGGGCACCCACGCTAGCGCAGGCTCCCACGGAGTATTATCTAGCCGCCAGGAAGTCTGCTCTTCGAATACATGCGGGGTTCTAGGCAGCCCTTCCAATATCCCCAAAGGCAGGCCTTCCTCGGCCCGGCGAAGAAAGTCTCTATCCGGATCGCCCACGGCCTCGAGGATCGCCCGCAGTAGCCGCGCTCGACGTAGCCTGCTGCGATGAGGCAGCTTCGGTAGCCTCTCCTGCTTCTCCCTGCCAGGGTGTATCCTCCAGATCATCTGTCTGATCGCTATCCTCCTCTTTGCTATCCGCTGCTCGAGGTACTGTGCCTCTGTAGTCGATAGGCTAGCCTCTAGCCCCCAGGGGAGCCTGGCAGTCTGGTACTGGATTATCCGGGCAGAGAGTCTGCCGCCGGGCTGGATGCTAGCCCCCTCTTGGTATTCAGCTAGCCTCAAGTCTCTCGCCTTCCGGACTAGCTGCACCAACTGGCAAACATGCGTGTACTGGTCGAATTCCGGTCTAGCCGAAAATTCTTGGCAATTCTTAAATATCCGGCGACGGCCCATCCAGCATCCGGCCAGGCCCCCCTTGTGTAGCCGAAACTTCTTACCGGGAAGTTCTACTATGATATAGCTAGTGCATCTAGCCTTCTTAAGTAGCTGCCTCGGCCGGTTCCGGTGCGGCTCCGGTCCCAGCTCCGGCTCACTAGCCGACTCTTCGGGTCCATCTTCGGGAGAGTCGCCGGCAATCTCCCTTTCATCTAGGTGTTGTTCCTGGTCTCGGGCTCTCGCCGCTTCCGCATAGATGGCCTGGAGCCTAGCCACCCGGCCGCCGTAGGAACGGATATAGGTATCCGATCCCTCGGATTTCCATCTCCCCAGCATATCCCTATCCGCTGGAGGAATCGGCTTCAGACTCAAGCCGGTGGGCAGCACGGCTCTCTCGCTGTGCTCCGACCAGTAGTTCTCGCCACCACTGGTGTCCCCACCATCGCCAATAGCCCAGCAGTAGCCACCATCGCGTCGGCGCTTATCCCCGAGCCGCGGCATCAGGTAGTCCCGCTGATAGCCCGCGTGGTTCTTCAGCAGGTTGAAGCCCACCAGTAGCCAGCCCGGATCCTCGAAGTAGGCTCTCTCCGAGATGCATACCTGTAGCTCCGTATGCGCCGGTTAGCCCCGGTGGTTTTCGTTCGCCTAAGGAAGATCCGACCACCGGAGGCTGCCCCAGACCTTCAGGAGCTTAGCCCAGGCCCAGACTCTCCAGCCAACGGCCACGCTGGCGTCGAGGACTAGCCTCTCCCATCTGATCAGGATCGCCGGCGGGTATCTCGGTGCTCTCCTCGTCCAGGGTGCTCGCTCTATCCAGCTGATCGCCTTAAGGACAGCCTCTGGCGCAGGGCTCGTCTCCTCTAGCCAAGTCGGCTAGGTCTGCAGGTAGCCCAGGGGAGCGCCCATCCTTCGCCTCCCGTAGCCATAGCCGCCACCTAACGTGGATGGAGACATAGCGCTTGAGCGTGCTAGCCCGGGTCTTTCCAGCAAGGGCAAGGACTGCCCTATCCGGATCCAGACTTCCCTGGAGTTTCTTTAGTACGGGGGCGCCACAGTGCTCTAGCTCCTCCTTCAGCTTTATAGCCCAAGTAGCTTGTAGTCGCTCTTCCCTAGCCCTCGTTGACCGGACCAAGCGCTTCTGTCTATCCCCCTTCGGAGGTTCCGGCTCGCTATCCTCCTGAAGGTCTATCCCTTCAACTGCCGGGCGCTGGCTGACTTTCCACCAGGTCTCTAGCTTCACGGGCTTCCTGTATCCACAGGTAGATCGAGTCACCGATGTACTCGTCATAGCCCACGCCGAGTTCCTCTGCCACCTGGTGTCCTACCTCTTCCGCGTCCTCAAGATCGAGGGTAGCTAGCTCGAGTACACCGAAGCCCCGCGATGCCAGGTGCTCGTGGCACTATCCCTCAAGGACGGAAGTGCAATGGGACCTGGTCCCACGACCTGCTCCCGGCGAAGCCGTAGGCAGGACGGTCGGACTTCCCTGCTCCTCGCCCCCAGCGCTAGCCGGAATCACCGTGGTAGCCGGTGACGGAGGGCTCGCCGTCCGCGAAGCAGAGGGGGTACGAGGAGAGGCCGCCATTCTCGCTTGGCTAAATAGCCAAGTTCCCCTTCTCTCCCCTCTACTTCAAAATTACCCCCCTGATGGGGGACTTTATCCAGAATGGCCACGGTCACAAATGCTCGTAGCCATTCCAAGTCACAGCTATCCTGTCTTCGCATGTCAGAAACAGCTATCCTGCGAACGACGATAGCGAGCGAAACTCCGTTTCTAGCGAAGCTACCTTCAATAGCTTCGGGTATAAATAGGTTAGCTAGCACACATAGTCGTAACTCGTTCCTCGTCACGAGGTACGTAACTATCATGCAAAATGCACCGGAAACTGCACTTAGGGCCAGACGAGAGAACGATGACTTCGGCGGATCCACTATCCTCCATCCCGCCAGCAACCGGCGGCTGCACGGAAGGCTTCTTTCTGTGCACTAGCCAGCCCACCACCACCCCGTGCAGGCCACCAGGTAGGTACTGGCTAGAGTAGTCGTACTAACGTCCCTTTCAAGCGGGGCTGAACTGTGCCGCTGCTACAAGGTACTGCCTCCTGTCGAGCTACTCCCCCGCATCGTGCATGTCCTCCAGCAACTGGCACGTCGGTGCGTCGACGTCCGGCCCGCACTCACCGATGCGTCTGCCAGAGCGGCGCTTGGCATACTCTCACCTTCTTCACGACCTCCTTGGTTACGGTCTGTCAGCGATCTGTCTGGAACCTCCGGGACGGCTTGGGAACAAAGGCCGGGAGAGGCGGCTTTGTATTCGGAGAGAATGAAAGCTCACCCCCGATAGTGGGCACAACGCAGCAGCTTGTTGGGTCTCTCTCCCTCGCTCTCGATTTAGTCAGAAAGGATGAGGTGCCTGATGTGAAAGGCATCGACTTTTCGCAAAGCCGCAAAGCATGCTTTAAGCCACACATCGACGCTCTCCTTTCCAACACACACAGGCATCCCTTCTTGTCCCCGCCTTCGGCAGCGCCCAACGACCTTCCCGTTTTGGTGGGCCGCTTCCTTCTGCACAGGCTCCAAAATTCTTTCAACGGCTTTTGCTCCAACAACATGCGCAATCCACACTTCAAGCTCTCAAGGCGATGAGCACGGTAGTGGTGAGTGTGGATGTGAGTGGTCTCACCGAAAACGGCCAGCACCTCCTGCGACCAAACACAACAAGCGTGGCGTGTCCAGTCACTCTCTCAAGCTGCTTACCG